GCTAATTATCCATCAATTCCTCTTTTAGGACAAATTCTGCTTGCTTTTTTTTACGATATTGTAGTTAGGCTATTATTGAAAAAAAAAGATGAAAAATGGTTGGGTTGCCTAAACATCTATTTCCTTTTATTCATAATTTCAATTAAGAAAATATTATAATTAACTAAAAACTAAAACATCTAATGAATTCTATTCACATCAATTAATGTACCATTAAACACATCCTGATTATTACTTATCTATGAGTATGAACAAATTGTTGATGTTGGATAGAATGTCTAAATCACTAAGTAAATTTTAAGTCTAATTTTAAGTGCAAAGTTTTGAATTTTTTATTTATGAGAACGTTGAAAGTATTCTGGACCAGTTTATATTCATTGTTTAGAAACAAATGAAAAAAAAAATATACAGCAAAAAACTGCAGATTGGGCCCAACCCTGGTCTCAACCCTGGTGTGAAATATGCGTGTACCGGAGTCTATGATCCTGTATTAGTGGAAAATGTAGGACTACTTTTCACTCAGTGGTGCTTCCTTCCTCTGCTAAAAAAGTAAAATCTACAAGTCTGCTAACAGGCTCATGCTGCCTCTATATGATCTGGTAAAGATGATCCTTTCCACTTGAAAAGTAGAAAATACAAGCACATTGTGTTTAAGTGCTGTTGATGCGATAGAGAAGAGAAGCATGTTGACCCAAAGATTATCCTGACCTGCTACTTGGGTAAGACATCCTAATTCATCTGCTACAAGAAGAAGAGGATGCATCAAATGCATTGATTGACTGCTATGCATCTGATAAAATCCAACAATAACATGCATTTAAAAAATACAACCAATTTTAAAATATGATATATTTTAGATTTACATATATCTCCAAATTGTCTGGGATTTTGGTCGATCACAGTGCAGCAGGACTGAGCCATCAGCAAAGGGGCTTGTCCGGGAACTCCGGCGGACGTGGGGAGGGAGCGACCAAACCCGGAGACGTCCCCCGCTGACTCCAGATCCGGACCAGCCCCGTAGCTGATTGCTCGGTAGGAATGCCCAGTCCGGTCCAGTCAGCCCAAATATGTGCCAAAGTGCCACCTGCAGTGGTGTGCATAAGCTACATTTGACTTTTTTTCATTCCATCCCTGCCCTTCAAAAAGTTTGTGCACATCACTTAAATCTTCTATTGTGGTGAACACAAAGGTTATGGACTGGTACAGAGTAGAAAAGAAGGAACATAGAAACAAAAGGAATAATCAGTAGTTTGATCATGTAACACAATGCAGCATAACAATCCCCACGCATCTCAAGCACCACAGCAGATGGAAATAATGTCGGAAAACCTGAGGCTTGATGAAGACTTTAAAAACAAATAACAGAAGGTGTCAAGTCTCAAACCGAGTGCCAGCGCTAAGAGCGATGGATGGATATAATGCGAACAATGTATAAATACAGATTATAAACGGCACTTTTCAAAGAAATAAGAGAGAAGTTTAATAGCGTGCACTGACTTTACTATGTGAGAAAATTGAGTATGTGCCAATGGTCGGAAAAATTTATTTCCTATCACATCCCTTAAAATATTGTTTCTGATATTTTGCTGAGTTTGATTTGCTCACTTTATAAAGCATTTACTTACTTTCCCTCATCCTACTAGGCTACAAAGTGTCTGGATGAGAGGGGTTTGTTGACTGCTTGGAAGAAACTAAACACCCTTATGGTTCGTTCCAACTGAACACAGTGTCCGTGGTGATTTCCACAAGCCCCGCAGGGAGTTCACTGCTCAGCATCCCAGATGCATGGTGTTTGCACCATGGACAGCATCATCAAATTGGAGCACGAAGCTGCATCAGGTGTGCTACTGTTGTTTCAGAGATATTGAAAATTATTTGTAGGTCTTCTAGAGGTCAATTATCCCCCATTTTGAATTGAATAAAACTTTTTTATTTCTACTTGATTTATGGAGGTAAAGTAAATAGTTTGTGCTGATTTGATTTTTAAAATAAAATCATTTTTAATTTCGGCCGATGACGTCACAATCCCAGCAGGCGCTACTGCTGCACTTGTTTCCAGATATATAGATATTGCATAACATCACATGTCATTCCTGTGCTCGTCATGCATATAACAGTGGCCATGTTTACCTTATTTAGTGGCTGGAATGATTGTTTAATGTTTAGCAAATCACAGTATTCCATACCGTGCACTTTAGACCTGCGGTTACCCCTTGCAATGCCATAGCATTTCCTGTCAAGGTCTCACTGTTAGAATTTTACAATAAAAGCACAAGTGAAACTTAATACCAAAGACTGCTGCTAAATTGTTCTTTATGCACAACATTTGAATCACCTTGGGAGTACCATTTATTTTTGGAAGTAGTAAAAAAAAAGTCCACTTTGGTTCATCAAGAGCTACATTTGAATGTCGGTCTTAGTCAGCGGTACTACCTTGATAATCCAACAACACTGATGCTGGGCAGCAAAAGATTGAGGTCTGAGCTGTAGGTAA